TCCACCCACCATCACAGGGAGGATTTTAGTCTGATCCCAGACACTTATTGTTTATTAATAAATATATATTTTTGCATATTGTAGCTAAAAATAATGTCCAATGTCAAATGAATTACTAATTTTCTATTCTAGTTATACAAACTAAATCACAATACCTAGCTAAAATTCATTTAAAATTAAAATTTTTATTAATATCACATTATCTTGTTCAATATTAAATAAAATTAAAATTTGTAGGTCAAGAATAATTGAAGATGGTTATAGACAATTATCAAGGATACCTTCACAAGCTTTGAAAGGTTTAATACGTGTTCGTTTTATTAATGAACTCGGCTTAGATGAGGCTGGAATTGATCAAGATGGTGTATTTAAGGAATTTCTAGAAGAAACTATAAAAAGAATTTTTGATCCATCTATGAATTTATTCAAAGTAACAAGTGAAAACAGATTATATCCATCATCGACTTCGGCGATACAAGAAAATCATCTTTTATTTTTTGAATTTATTGGTCGAATGCTTGGTAAAGCTGTATATGAAGTAATTTTTTTTTAATACAATATACATACATTATTAAGTATAATTCAATTTTAGATTTTTTTTCAATTACAGGGTATTGTTGTTGATGTCCCTTTTGCATCATTTTTCATATCTCAATTTTGTGGTCAAGCTGGAGGAGTTTTTTATAGTTGGCTTGATGAATTAGCTTCACTTGACCGAGAATTATATCGAAGTTTAACAATGGTTAAACATTATAACGGAGATATAGGTGACTTAGCATTAACTTTTTCATTTGACGAAAATGTTATGGGGAAAATAATTACACATGAGTTGAAACCTGGTGGAAAAGCAATATTAGTTACAAATGAGAACAAAATAAATTATATTCACTTAATGGCTAGGTTTCGAATGTATGTTCAAATAAAGAATCAAATAAAAGCTTTTACGAAAGGATTTCGTTCAATGATTAATTCTGCATGGCTTACTTTATTTTCAACGCCAGAGGTAAGAATTAAATATTTTAAAAACAAGTCTAAATATTATTCTTTGTATTTTATAACTAATTTTAATATCTTAAACAATTAAGTGTCAAAAATTGATCTCGGGTGAAGATATATCTCTAGATTTACGTGATTTACGAAAACATACACAATATTATGGAGGTTTTCATGATAAACATCGAGTAATTTGTTGGCTTTGGGATATTCTTGAAAAAGATTTTTCAGAATCTGAAAAAGGTCTTTTCTTAAAAGTAAGTTTTTAAATTATATTTTAATTTTGAATATTAATAAATTATTAAACAAGAATTTCTTAAGTTTGTTACTAGTTGCTCTAAATCACCATTAATAGGATTTGCTCATTTGGAGCCTCCATTTTCTATTAGATGTGTTGAAGTCGGTGATGATGAAGATACTGGAGATACAATTGGTAAAATAATCAAATATTAATATATTACATAATTATTAATTTTCATAATTAATTATTTAAAGGTAGTGTAATCAGAGGATTTTTCACGATTCACAAAAAAGATCCACAAAACCGATTACCAACATCATCAACTTGTTTTAATTTATTGAAGTTACCGAATTATAAAAAGAAAAATATTCTTCGTGAAAAATTATACTATGCTGTTACAAGTAATACTGGATTTGAATTGTCATAAAATATTACACTATAATTAGAGAAATACTTTTATTTAGAAATAATAATATGTAATATTCTTTACGTGTAAGAAGTCTTTATAATAAAAATTTTAACAACCAAATAAGATTATTTGTAATCTAAATTATTTCTAATCTACGTGTGAGAATGTATAAAAATATCTACTCAAATTTTGATTAATAATCGAAACAAAAATAAAGCATGTATTATTATTATATTATTTCATTTCATAATTGTTGTATGATAAAGTTTCTCATTGAATATTTTGTTTAATTTTTAGTATATTTATAATCATTAGTATATATAGTTATATATAATCATTTGGAATAATTATAATTTATTATTTAAAATCTAAAGTTTACAATAACAATATATACGAAATATTTAAGAAATATAGTAATCAATAAGTTATCACGTTTGTTGATTTTAATTTTTAATTTTTTCTTAAATCCAATATTATGTATACAATTATTTTATTATGCAGAAAAAATTGTTTTGCAATTGAATTCAAATTTCATGATAAATGTTCTTTAACTTTTATATCGGTAAAAAAAGGAAAAACAAAGGAATTTTATATTACAAATATTTACCTTCAACGAATTTGTGTATTTGTAATATCGTATGTAACTTAATTATAACTAAGAAAATATTTATATGTTATTATTAAGTATCTAACTTTACAATGTTGTAAGACCAGCGTCTAGTTTTACTTTTATGCTCTTGACCTAGTATATTCTATGACTTAAATCGATTGTAAAAATACCTGTGATTTGTCAAAATATATCCACACATAAAATTTATAAAATCTATTTTGTACTTGTTAATTGACCTACAAACGGTCTTGTAGGTTATATAGTAGTAACATAAATAATCTATTTTGCAACCAAAAATGATGATATTCAATATTAATACCAAAAGGAAAATAGCACATGTTATTATCCTAAAATATTAATGCTTTTTTCGTAGAGATTTAAAGTTCAGAACTACTTTTCCAATTCACTCTACCAATGGGTGATACCAGACGACATCACAAAAAATATTTGTTATTGTTCTATCCCTTCCACTTGCCTGTACGTTTTCTCTAACCATAACAACTGATTGTATTACTCTAATTTTAAAAAGTAAATGAATCAAATTTATTCTGATTTTAGATAAACAGAGATTTCAATTTCAAATTTAAGTAAGAAAAAAATAATAAGTAAATCAATAAGTAGGTAGACTTTAGTTTTACATGATTTGAAAAGGAAGATTGAAGGAGAACATTTTTTCACTAATAGAGATATTTTATCTATAATATCTTATATAATTTAGGAAATAATATATTCTTGCATCATTATTGTGTGGCCTTTCATTCAATATACCACTGATGTCAAATATAAGTCAATTGTGCTATTTTAATCGTTTTTTTACCCCGAAACTGGATAAACAAACATTACCAAGCCTTTAGAAATCACTATTTAATCTTTTCATCAGATATTGATCATTTCTATTTATATCGACAATAATAAATATTTGTTAACAGAGCTAAAGTTATCATTAGATAATAATTTAACATTTATTTTAAATAGTTTTATATGTATATTTAATCTAATTTAATTGCAAAGATATTTAGTGTAATAATACTAATAAATTCTTTATTCATTTTCGTATTAATATATTTCTACAAGTTTTTTGTGTTTAGCTAATGTAAAAAATAATTAATTTTCATTGAAGACCACAGTTTTTTTATAATTTAACCTTAGAACTTATTTTTAGATTCTACTAATAAACATATTTCTTAAGACATTTTTGCATATGATAATTGTGGAATACAAACATAATTATAAATGACACCGACAAAGATATCTTCGCATTTTTAGTTCGCCATCACCATTTTATTCACTAATTCAGTAATTTATATTAATTAGAAAAACATTTTTAATTAGATTAAGGTACATTGCTGGTTTACTTATGGTAAAATAGAATTTACATTTACAAACTACTATTAAATAGTACCGTATGTAATGTTCGTTTTTAATAAGAAACTTACCTTTTATTAAATCCCAATCTAGACATAGTATGCTATGTTTACTTTAAATATATAAATAATACATTAGTTATCGTATATTCGATATTAGATATCGTACTCAATTAAGTATTATTTTTTGTAAAAAAAAACACGACCTGTACTACGTTAAATGTATTATTGCAAGGAAAATATGCTAAAAATTGCAATCTTACAGTCATCAAACAAGTGTGTGATAAGTAGCTTGCATTTTGATTCCAAAAATATATTATGATAAAATTTTACCTTTATATAAATATTTTCATAAATATATTCTAAAATAATTTGATTTTTTTATTCCACGTACTTAATTATTTTCGATAGATTAGTGTTCGAGATTGCGAGAACCTTTTCCTATGCTATGAAACATCGGGCAAAATAACATCGTTTAATTCTTGTTAGATAATTAACCATAAAACATTTGGCAGTAGTATCATTAAGCATCTGGCAAAACAAGTTGTATGACTAGCGAAAACCCAACTCATTAGGCAGCTGCAAGGTATCGCATGCCCGAAAACCTGAATTCTAACGCTATGTACTGCCTCCACCCCTCTTGTTGTCAAG